AATTTTGCCACTCAAGCTGTATTATCACTCGTCAAAGTTCTCCATTTTAATCAACAGTTTTCATCTTTTTTCTTCCTTTAATTACTCTTATATATCGCGCATCAGACCTGTGTCATCCCCTTCGGGTCCACAGCGAACTCCTGTATCAAGCTCTCCCTATATACTTGAAAGCGCCGATAAACCATTGTGCTGGAACGATGGTCACCAACCTATCGCAGAACTTTGAGCAGCAGACGAAGCTTTCGCGGATGCGATCATGGAGAAGTTTCTTGCGGATTTCAGAGATCTCTGAAGAGTACTACCTGTCCGAGGACCATACTTGCTAAATCCTCTCTCTTTAGCCTCCAACTTAGGGTTTTTAGGGCAGCGCTTCTGGGTAGATAGTCGGGATGGCGCTTCAAGGGCGATGGATGCTTCCGTGATGCTGTGATGCTGACCCTACATCAGCTCTTTCAAACAAGAGTTCCAAGGGTTGTGTACAGGCCTGGAAGAGATCTCCCCACAGACAAGGTCACAGATTCAGTCTACAAGCGAGATCCAGCTTCTGGATATCATATATGGGACTCATTCCTAGACGAGGCAAGGGCATTTTGTGGCAATTCGGTGGACTCTCTCCCGGTGTTTGACCACCCTTTCCCTGTGGGACTCGGAGAGATCTCCTGTGAAGAAGGTGTGCGACACAACATCTATGCGTTCTTCACACGGACGCTGGTGGAGATGAACAGAGAGAGGCGCCGACGCGATCCAACAACGCCCGTGATCTTGTTCGCTGATGGATCGGCCGCAGTCATGATCGGGCATCCGGATGAATTCTTCGCGTGCATCGAAGTGAAGAAGGAGGGTGTTTTGCCAAGCACTCTACGTGGTCAAGAATTCGCTCGGCTTGCTCAACAGGAGCCACGACAGCATCGGAAAATGCTAAATCAAGTGAACGGTTATCTATGGCATAATCGCACCATGCATTGTGGGTATGGTGCGATCACCAATTGTAGTGCTTGGTGGTTTATAAAAGTGACTCCAACCAGTGCCCTCTATGTTTCGGATCCTGTTACGTGTGATGCTGTGCCTGGAGCAAATAACATCAGCTTGCACCAAGCTTTGTGGTTTTACCATGAACTCATGTGCCAGAACACTCTCCCTCAAGATCCTCCTCCTCCAAGTGACAGTGGTGGAAGCAGTGGAGGTGAATCCTCTAGGGGCAAGAGAAGATGGGATCCTCCTGTTTACTCTATTATCCCACGACAAAAAAGCATGTGCATTGGAGGATCTAGTGCTGGGGGAAGTGCTAGAGTGGCTAATAGGTTTTTGATGAAGAAGCTATATAGCTTATGTGAAGCTCTAGGAATATCTTCAAATCTTGTGAAGGGGTATTTCCAAATACTTGAAGCTCATGAGCATAAGGTGCTACAGTTGATTGAAGCTGAAAGGGAGCAACATGTTTTCAGAGGGAAACTCAAGGGAGATGACGTTGTTATCAAATGGTCTGATACCACAAAGTTTGAGGACAGAGTTACTAAGTACATTCGTGAGCTACATTCATATGCATTACTTCGAGATTTGCAAGGGATATGCATTCCACGATTATGGGGAGCTGGATTTATAGCTGAAGGTTTAAACTTCTTTCTAGCTATGCAAGACAGTGGTGGAATCTCGATTGATAGGGAACCACATCTTCAAACCCGAGAAAAGTTTGAGGAGGCTTTGGTACGTCTGGATGCTATTCACGCGAGAGGTTTCATTCATGGAAAGATTCAGCCTGCAAGCATATTAGTAACACGTGATGACGAGATTCGGTGGATTGCACTCTCTGAAGCTAGACCAGGAAATGCGCAAGAAATGGTCGAGGAGAGGGCTCAAATGCAACGGTTGATTCCAAGATCATAGACAAATTGTTCTTTTCTCGTATTAAAACTGTTCATTCACCATCTTTTTTTTGTACTCCAGTTAAAATTGTTCCTTTCACCATCTTTTCTTTGTATTCCAGTATCTTTGAAAAAATCTCAACCTGCAATCACGCAGGCAATCAATCGTAACGCCTTGACTTTCATACAATCGTAACGCCTTGACTTTCATAGTATCGTAACGCCTCTCCGACAACGCCTCGTTACAATCGTAACGCCTCTCCCATAGTCGTACTAATGTCTGATCGTTCCTTGTTGGTGTCTCTTGAATCACGATTCATAGAGTTACTGGGTAGCTCTGATTCACATAGTGTTCATAGAGGATCATTACTTGTTCCCAAACGCATACCGCACGCTCATCCTCAGCGTCGTCTTTCGTAATACCCAAGTTTATCTCCTGAATGGGAGACACGGACGTCAAAGATAAGAAAGAACGCTCCCTGGCAAATTATTGTGTCAAAAAAGAGTATAAAATCAGGAAGACACGTCATATAATATAACACATCGTACACAGTGGCATCGATCTTTGTACGTAGTGCTCTTACACCTTCCAAGGTCCAAGTTTCGACAGCTGCTTCACCTCCCAGCTTGAGATGTCTCCTCTACTGCAAAGACACAAATTAAAAAGCTCGTGAAATTACAGTGATGGCACCTGGCATGTGATGAGCTGCGAGTGTCTCTGATATTTGGTGAGATGCTTCTCGGCTAACATCACAGCTGTGCTTCGAAATGTACCAGCATCATCTACCAAATTGGCCTCTTCCAGCCTTTGGCGGATTCCATGGACCATAAACACAAGGTGTTCCTTTGCATTGAAGCTCAGAAAAGATCAAAAAAGAAAACAAACCACTAGCCCCATCAAATGGTAGGCATTTCCAAAGTAAGGATAAACCTTATCATTGTATGCTCTATGTTGTTAAGAGCTTCTATGCACATGTTCAAAGTCGGATGATGTCTTTGTTATAAACTTGCCAGTTTTCAACCTTGCCTTTATTATTCATGTAGTTGTGGAATAGGACAGCCATCACAAGGTAAGTGCCATATTGTTGAGAGGTGTTGTTCTTCATGTCCTCCCACTTATGCTTTTAAGCTGGCATTGGTGACCCCAATGTTCATCAACTGTGCAGACTGTAGCAAAGAGGGGAGCTCCAAGGCACCATCTGTCAACTTTTTGATTAATGTATAATACCTCATCATGTTTTTTTTGCTTTTAATAATTCTCTGGGTTTTTCTTATTTGATTTAAATAAGTATCAACTTTGTCTATTAATTCCAACCATCTATTTGTAATCTCAGTCGCTACTGCCAATTTGGTGTAGGTATACGGTTTAATGCTTTATTAATCTCTTACTTAAGTTGTTAAGAATATAGAAGTGTTCATTGTCAGATATTCAGTCTCTAAATCTTGATGTTCGAATTAATAGAAGATGTTTTATGGAAACTATATTTTTTCCATATAGCACCAACCAAAACAAAATTCTTTTTCAAATAGTATTATCCCCATACTATGAATGATGTGCACCTAGATCTCACAATACTACATTTTTTTGTAGTCTTTCCCAATAAAAGCAACGAACATTAATTGACTCAAATAATCTATTGCAATAAAGAAGATGGAGGAAAAAAATTGGAGGATTATTTTTATTTTTCTTTTGAACAGAAAAGCATCCCTCTTTATATTCAAGACACCAGAATTATTTGTTCTTCATCCATGACTTCATTATCTACTTCTAGCTCTTTTCAAAGAAATCTACTATACTTCTTTGTCTCGTGGCCTAACAAAAGTTTTGCTAGTATATGTGTGTATGAGAGCGAAAATAAAACTAAGGAAATTTTACTTATAAATCCTAAAATCAGAATTGTCAATCCCTTCTTATAGTAGATTTTATGTATCCTTCTCCACTGCAGTAGAACGTTATATACTCCTTAAAAAGTGAAGTTTCCTCTATGTCAGCCAGCTCAAAACTGACTATGTTCTCCTATCATCAAATCCCTTTCACATATTTGAGGATGTGGCAATGTCACCAACTTGGAGTAGTTTGCATTAGAGAGCTGGTGATGCTTATAATGATTTGTGTGTGTGGCTTCTAGCATTATTCATATTCTATTTCGGTTAGTGGTGTGAATGTAATTTGTTCTCCATTGTTGGAATAAAAATTTGGTAGTCCTTTAATCATTGCTTTTGGGATAGCAAATGACATTGGTGTTCTATTACACCTTGTAGATGAGAACATGCTTAGATTAATATATTGACAACATGGTCTGTGATCATTTTTTTAGTGATCGGAGCTAATTCATGATACCAATTCAGATTATATAGATTATGTTTAAGGCTTCAGGAAATACCAAGATACTTGCTGATCTCATAGAGATTATGTTTGCTGGAGTTAATTTCCAACATTCATGTCTTCTTCCATAATATCTGTTGAGACATGGCTATTATCTATATCTAAATTTGCTTGAATTTACATCAAATGTCATTTTCCACATGTTTAACACTTCCATGTCAGCAAAGAGTTGAACAAATGGAATTGGTGCAAAAAGCTCATCACTATACCCAAGTGCTATAAGCTCAAGATACCAAGAAGACAAGGCTGCTGTCGACTCAACATTCCCCTCTGGTTCATTATTGTGTTCATTTTCACTCTGTATAGAGGAAAACAATCTTGAATGGTCTAAACGGTGGGTTAAATCCTTGGGAATGTAGTGGGAAGGAGGACTTCCCTCCAGATTCACTCAAGCCATTCCGCTGTCATCCTAGAAGCGTGCCAGGCATGTTACCTAGCAGCACCATAGATTATAGGTGCCCATTCTTATAGTGGCACGGTAAAAGAAAACAATTTCCAGAGGCAAGGAATGCCAACGATCTCAGTCGATGAATCCATTGCTTGCATAGCTCCCAATCTCGATCATTATCTTCATCAGCATTTACATTCGATCGCTGCTGGTGCCCTAATATCCTCCTCATCGACGAGTGGAGGCAGGCAATCAGGGTCCTGATCATCACTCCGCTTGGAGTTTACTAGTTCAATCAAAGTATATTCCAAATGCGTGGATCTTATAGAGATTCGAGCCCGGGATCGTGGAGTACCGTACGCTCCTGTACGGTTGAAAATCGAACCATGGCATGGCCCTAGCCTAGGGTTTACAGAAGAGAAGAAGTAATGGCGGACGACGACTACAATGATTTCGATGGCGGCGGCGAGGAGTAAGTCGCCACATCTCTGCACTTCGATCGTCTAATGCTGTGTATTGCAGCTACGATGAGCCTGTGGAGCCCGAGGTACGATTTATCCGCTCCATTTCAAGCAGCGGTTTGATTGATCTTCCAGGAAGAGGTCGAGGAGCAAGAAAACAATGAGGAGGCGCCGGAATTTGGCGGCGATGGGGAATTCCAAGAGGCGGAGAGCGAACAGGTCAGTGATAAGCCCAGGAAGACAACCAAGTATATGACCAAGTATGAGAGAGCTCGCGTTCTTGGGACACGGGCTTTGCAAATCAGGTGAGCGAGATCCTTCTCTCGCGTTTGGTCTGGCCAGCGAGAACTCAAGTTCCTTTCTTTTGCCTTTCGTGACAGTATGAACGCTCCAGTGATGGTGGAACTCGAGGGCGAGACAGATCCACTCGAGGTATAGAAACTCTGAAAAGGAATTTGTGTGGAGTGATGGAGCTCTGGAATGTTCTTTGCAGATTGCTATGAAGGAGCTGCGTGAACGGAAGATCCCTTTTACGATTCGGCGGTACCTCCCTGATGGAAGGTATGTTAAGTGAGTGATCCTCTTCGCGCGTTTCTAAGAATTCTTGCTTCTAGCTACGAGGATTGGGGCGTAGACGAGCTGATTGTGGAGGATTCTTGGAAGAGACAAGTTGGAAACTAGTGAACAGAAAAAAAGCAAGTATCTCTTCTTGGTATATTCTTTGCATATGCCTTGAGAGTAATGAAACTAGCTAAAGAAGAATATTCACTGGCGTTCTTCTAGCGGTATGGTTCTTTCGTTTGGCAGAATGGAGGTGGTGAAGTTCCAGAAGCAGCTTGAGAGCCACCTGTGGCGGGTGAATTACTGCGACTACAAGCAGCTCAAGAAAGTTGTCAAGAGAATCAAAAACTAGATTCGAACCAGGAGCACAAGGTGTTCTGTTCAAATGTCTTCTCGGTTGACAAGAGCAAGCTCCAAAACTTGCTGCAAAATCCCAGTGCCATCCTGAGCAGCTGCTGCGAACAATCCATATCCTCAGAAACTTCCATGGTTTGTGATGACTGTAAAGACAACACAAAACGCTTCAATATCATTAGTGAGCGCTTCTTGGGGGAAGAGAGTTTGGACTGGTGACAAGCTTCCACTCGTTCTCCTCGATTTTGTATTGGTAGAGATCACAATAAATGTAAGTCTAGCATAGCAAACACAAAGATCAAATCACCGTAGCAAAACTAATCACAAACCTTGTCACCATTGTAGTATTCACCTCCATACACGATCAGCGCAGTGTCCTTGGGACAGGATTTACAGACACCTGAAATGCCAAAAAAGAAGAATTCTAGAGAATGTGAGCTTCCACAAAACTCTGTGAGCTTCCAGAGTGGAGACTTCAATCGAATTCCTAAGCACACAGCAATTGCATTGTGGTGAAGGAGCTGCTACATTCTTATTGACATGAATTTGCTCTTCTTTACTTCCTCTTTGCTTCCTCCTCATGTCAAAAGGAAAACAATTGAGAGTCTTTAGCGCAGAGACTGCTTACCAAGATCACATCGATATCATCCAGCATTTTTCTATCATGTCCCCAAAGGCAACCAAGTTGCAAATGAGTAGCTTTTGTTTGGTGGTCACATAGACAAGTGGTTGCACCTCAATGCCTGCTGTTGAAGCGAGGAAGTGAGAAAGAGCTCTTCTTGATTGTATGCAAGGTGGAAGATGACAATTCTGAAGTTTTTTGTTTCCTCCAAGCCTTTTAGGATAATCTTTGGACTCCACTGAGTCATTTACCTTTTAGACTTTGTTAATTTGATGACCTAGCTTCATGATGTGTTATCACATTTGAATACAACTTTTTGTATTCATGTCCTATTCATAATGAATAAAGTGTTATTTTGACATTTGATTATTTTTTATTCCAAATGGGCTACCTTTACCCCTTAGAACTATCTTTTCATATATAAGAATACTAACTCATCTTTGAAGTACATCCCTAACTCTTTGGGTTATTTTAGTATTTTTTAATTACTAATTTAAAGACTTATGTCTTCATCCATATTTGATTTCCCACAGTCATCAATTTTAATATCAAATTCATGAGCATCATCCTCAATTACATGAGGATAATTCTTTACTCCTTTATTGTCTAGGAGTCTTTATCCTTCTTATTATCCTATTATAGTTATTTATTATAATTATATTAACTAGTTTACTAAATCAAATGCTTATATAGATCACATCTTCAATTCATTGAAGAAAAACCTTTTACCATTCCTAAAATTCTAAAATCGTTTTCTTATTAGCCCCTTGCAATCCATCATATTGTTTACAAATTCATGTATAAACTAAAGTGAAGTGCCATGCCCTCTCAACATGTAACTCCTCAAGTATAACCCCACTCTTGAGACTTTTAGAATGTCAATATCAAATAATGATATACTTGATTGTCAATAGAAGTCAAGCTAAAGAATATCTCTAATACCAAGTTATAAGTGATTCATTTTTCTATTCTACTTTAGTCACTTAACCACATCTTTGACTATATAAAGGAATCTCACTCACAACCTCTATAAATTTTTATCTTGACTTACAGACTTATTAATCTTGAGAGGCGACTTCAAAGCCACATTGCCTTTGCACTTAGTCGAAATGCTTCACATATTCAATTCCACTATAGACACCTAAGGATATCCCTAACCTACCAGCCTATTACATTAAGGTTATGTTTATTTGTTTTTGTTTTATTAGTAGTTCAAGACCACTTGAAGATTAAGCCATTGTAAGCAACCAAAGAGAACAACTTAAGAGACGATCCATGGGGTTCAAATATAGAGGGAAAGGGCCCATGAAAAAGAGTGCACCCCCTTTTCCAATCGGTTAAGGGTCTTGGGATATTTAGAGTTAAGTGTCCTTGGGTTTGAATAGTACTGGGATAGATGACCTCTCGAGAAGTCTAAACTCAAGAGCTTACAGCCATCTGTCCATAAGTGTTTGTCCATTACCACACTTTAGCATCCTTAAGATGCCCCAATACATAATGAACACTATTCCCTAATATCTCTCATTCAATCCCCACTAAGTCCTTTTTTGTCCACAACAATGCTTGCCAACACCCCTATTGAGTTAGGGCTTAAAAGCCCAACCATTAAGTCCTATTAACTTTTGGGACTTCCTCATCTTGTGACTATACTCTTGGTCACGAAGAAAAAGGACCATTCCTTATCCTTTCTGGGACGTTAGGATGATATTTCGAAACATTGCAACCAATGTGAGCCTTGTGGGTACTCCCTCCATATTCTACATATAGGTGCCCCAACCATGTGATTAGAGTGAATTTTAATGAGCCATACTAAGTATCCAAGTAGGTAATGCCACCCATATTTAAATTGGGAGTATCGACCATTTGATTTTTTAAAGGAGCTAGAGCCAACTTTTAAACACTTCACTAAGTTACCCCATTTATCCACTTGTGTTCACTCTAGCCTTAAACTCCTCAATGGTTATGTCATCACCCACTACCTGGGTGTAGCCTTCTTTGGTCACACTAGTTTTAGTTCCACTAGAGTCTAAGCCCTATACTCTCCAGGCTTTTATGACCTATATTAGTATTCAAACTCGGTCTTGGTTTTGGACTCAAATTCAATCTTGATCTCAATCTTGGTCTTGGATCTAATCTTGGACTCAGTCTCAACCTCTATTTTGAACTCGGGCTTGGGCTCCATCTTGGACTCAACCTTAGCCTCCATCTCAGTCTTAGACTTAATCTTGATCTCGGTCTTGAACTCCATCTCAGACCTAGTCTTGGTCACTATTTGGGACTTGGTCTCAGGCTCCATCTCAAACTTGGCCTCGGCCTCCATCTCCAACTTAGTCTTGGCCTCCATCTTGAACACGATCTCAGACTTGTTCTTGGACTTAGTTTCGAACTCAATCTCGAATTTGGTTTTGGATTTAGTCTTGGACTTGATCTTGGACTTAGCTTTGGACTTGGTCTCGGACTCGGTCTAAGACTTGATCTTAGACTTGGTTTAGGATTTAGTCTCGGATTTGATCTTGGACTCAATTCTAACACTTCCATGTGTCACAACATTTGCCATGTGTTAATCCTTTTTGTGTCTCTTTCTAGAGACTCATTTATTGATCATTTCATACTTTTTCCTCAAGCATTTTTTGGGAGTTCCACTCCCGCCCTCAACTTTCTATATTAGAGCTTTTGGTTTAATTGTGTTATACTCATTGGACTTCTATTCGGCCACTATCATGTGGCCTAAGTTCAACTCCACTTTAGGGCTTAGGGATTTGTGTCTTACATATGGAGTGATATTAAAATAATTCTAGAGTTTCCAGCATCCTAATGCTAAGATTAGTACACAAAATAGAGCCAAATAAAGTTTGGCATTATTTCAATATATCAGTGAGTATATGCAAGGATATGAGTACTCTACCAGCTAGGATGGTATGGAGTTTGGGCTTAAATTGAAGCAAGATGTAAAACAAAGATAAATACACATAATAAAGAGCTAGATAATATTTCAAATTGATTAGCTATACCCAACCTATCTACTATCTTTACTATATATTTGAAACCCTTATAGCCCCCTTAGGTGCCTTAGGAGTTTTAAGAGTTATAGTGTAAAGGAATGTGAAAATGTTAATTTTGTTTTAAACAACAGCCTAAAGTAAGAGAAATGAAAAAATTAATAATATGACAAAAACACTAATAAATTCACTCTATAGACTTTTTATGGCATTTGTAATTTATATATTAATTTACATCAAAGACTCTACTTACCTGCTAATATTGCAATCCTCTCATATAAGAAGAGTAAGATATATTTTCATGGTGAATCCCCACTAAGAATTTTCAAGAGTCTTTTGTGAATAATAATAAAGGTAATCAAAATCTTTCAAAATACTCAAAAGTAATAATTAAGTATATCTATATTTCCAAAGCTGAAAAATAATCTCATATGAGAGAATGCTAGTGTGCTAATGTGCCCTACAACTATAATGTGTTTTATATTTCCCTACACTCTATTTCCTTAGAAAATTGGTAGAAGTGTAAAAAAATATATATATGTAGTGTTATTAAAATGATAAAGCATATGTATATATGATAATCTAGAATTTTAGAAGCTCTTTTTTTTACAAGCAGGCTATGATTATGAAGCCCCATTTCCGAGAGTGACAACTCATGAATTTGTTTGTCAATGTCATAATAAATAAACTTCATTCCCAAGACTAAAACTTAATATATAAACTTATAGTTGTTGTACTTTTTTGTTATTCTTAAGCTCCCTGGAAAGTTGAAAAGCTTATATAGAAATAGCTCAAAGGAAAGTCACAATTACTTATATTTGGCCCTTTAGCATTTCAAATCAATCTCCTCTCCATCCCCAAATTCTACTTTCACCTCCATATAAAAATTCTTTTTTTTACTGAGGACTTTAATAAAGCTGTACTAGAGCTCTTTATATACAAAATTTTAGATATTGTTACTAGAGAGGGATTGCTTCTAATCTTTCAAGAACAATGACATATGTTTGCAAATCTTACTCATGATATAGTAGGGCTACTTGAAAGTAAAAAACACTATTATATTTAGTGTTTAATATGTTATTTTTTTTTTGAATAAAACAAATAGCTCCATGGGTGTACAAACTTTTTTTGAGCACTACAGCAATTGCCTAATGACAAGTTTGAAAATGTGCACACATAGATGTAAAAATAAATTCAATAACAAGTTACAGACACATACTCATTATCAAGGAACAATATATCCTTG